GGTATGTTTAGCGGTTCTTAGATCTCACTTTGAACAACAAGAAGCATACTCTTGAGAACTCTCTTGTTTTCCCAGATCAAATTAGGATTGGGCTGTAAAAGAGGCCAGGGGATCAAAGAGACCCTCCTGTGCCTCGCCCTCTTGCTGGAAGGCAGAGCCTGTTCTTCTTAGCCCCAGGGAGATATGAAGTGCCACCATCCCAGGCCCCAAGGTTGGCTCTGGGTCCAGCACCCACCCAGCTGTGTGCAGCATGGCTGGATTATGGGCCCATCTACTCCACAGGGCCGGCATCCTGGCCGCACTTTTGTTCCCAGCCTAGTGCATCTTGATCCGTGTCACCCCTTCCATTGGTGACATCCTCATCATGCCTGCCCATACTCACTCCTTCTTCCACACTAGGTGCTTCAGAGCAAGCGCAGCTCACGGAGGCAGAGCCTGGAGCTGCAGAAGTGTGAGGAGATCTTGCAGAAGATCATCAAGTACCGCTTCAGCTGGCCCTTCCGGTGAGCCACCTGCCCAGCCTTTCCATCAGGCCTCCCTGCCCAGCCCAGCAGCGGGCACCGCGTACCGTGCCTCCCCGGCCGGGCGCTCCATTGGCTTTTCTCCCCAGGGAACCGGTGACAAGGGATGAGGCAGAGGACTACTACGAGGTGATCACACAGCCCATGGACTTCCAGACGATGCAGAGCAAGTGTGCATGCGGTGGCTACGGCTCTGTGCAGGAGTTCCTCGCCGACATGAAGCAGGTGTTCACCAACGCTGAGCTGTATAACTGCCGCGGCAGCCACGTGCTCAGCTGCACAGCCAAGACGGAGCAGTGCCTGCTGGCGTTGCTGCGCAAGCACCTGCCTGGGCACCCATACGTGCGCAGGAAGCGCCGCAAGGGCCCCGAACCGCCTGCCGACGAGCCAGAGGACAGCGATCCTGAGCCCGGTGCAAATGCCCGGGGCCGGAGGCAAAGGAAATAGAGGCCAGGCTGGCCTTGGTAAGGGAGTGGAGGTGGGAGGATGGAGGACTGGTGGGGGAGACCACCGGGGGGGAGCACAAGACAAGGGAGGAGGATTTGAAGAAGTGATGGAGAGCGTCAGACATGCCTGCACTCCCACCCCACCCCACACAGGGCTGACTTAAGCAAAGCCCTTGGGGAGTCAGGGGTCCTGCTGGCAGTCACTGGGTAGAAAGGGGCCAGCCCTGTGGTCTGAGCACCCCCAGGAGGAGCCCTGTGCACCCCTCCCTGGGGCCCCCACGCCCTTTCCTCCTCCTCTCAGTGAGGGTGCGGGGAACACAGTGGAGTCCCATGCGCATGCGCACCAGCATCACGGGATGGCAGCAGTCTTCTGAGGACATCTTGTGGAGTAGAGAGACATTTCCTGGAGCCATTCCTCAGCACCTCTCCTTTATGAGCCCCCTCGCTGCCTCCGGAAACAAAGCTAAGGCACTTCCCCAGACTGCGGTCCTGCTTGTGATCACACCTACCTTCCCACTGGTCGCCTGACCGCCAAGCAGCAGATGCCCGGAGCAGAGCGCTGAGTTGTTCAGAGGACTTTTCTAGTTGTTTCCTTGCTTGTTTCTCGGCACACTGTATAAAGAGCACCTGTCTGCTCCTCCCACCTCCGCGCGCAGGTCTCTACGCGTGCATTGTTCCCTGCCTGCTCCTCCACAGAAACCGCTGGGGTGCCAGCAAGCAGTGGGGTGCAGTGAGGTCCCCACCTACCCTGCTGCACCTCCTGTTCCCTGGCCCCATTCTGGCTACGCTGTGTTTGTGGGTATCCACAGGTGGGGGAACCCAAGCCCCACAGCTGGCACAGCCTGGGCACAGCCCTGAGAGCGCCTTTGTAGTCTCTCCCTTTTACTGCAGATTTTGATAAAAGTACAAGACAGGGTTTCATTTTCTTTTCTACCAACTCTGGGTTTAGAAAACATGGGCACCTGGGCTCTTCTGTGCCTGTCCGAAGGAAAAGCAGTCTGCGTGGGGATCGCCATTCAGGCGACTGGGTAGAGCCCGTGGACCGGAACTTGCAGGGGGGTCCCTGCCACCCCAGGTCTCCCTCTCTTCCCAGGTCTGCTGGGAGTGCGGACCCCAAGTGGCAGCCCAGCCCCCACCATTGCCCCATTCCTTTACATGGCTCAGGAGGAAGGCAGGCGGGGGCTTGTCATAAGTTGGAATTTCAAATAAACATTATGTACTTGTGTTTCTAAAGAAGCAGCAACATGGGTCGCGCCTCCTTTCGTGACGAGTGAGGTCTGGCCTCAGCCTCCCCCCATTCCATCTGGCACCAGAGGAAGTTAAGATGTGTTCCAGATAAAACTGACAATTTGTGGGGAAAAGTTATTTCCACAGAAAGTTTCAGAAAGGTGCTCATTAGTCCTACATGCTCACCCTCCACCAGCACTTGGCTTGTGGGCATGCGTATTATTGAAGCTGCAGGGTTTGTGAGTGCACTGCTGGGTTTTGAGGGGCTACTGGTGTGAGCACCAGCTGGCAAGCGGAGCCGCCTGGCCTGGCAAGGCGAATATCAGGCTAAAGGCATATGGTAGGTAGGCCTGGTGCAGGCTCAGCCTCTGGCTGTGGTAGTGGTGCCATGGCAGGGCCTGCCCCTGGTTCTGTGGGCACCTCACCCCACAGGCAGCTATGGGGCAGGTCCTACCCTGGCCGAGGGCCCCAACCTCTGTATCCCTACAGGGCTGTAACCTCACGTGTCCTGGGATGGCAATGAGGCACCATCCATGTCCCACAGTACCCAGCACTTGCGCCTCCCTGGATTGAGGGCCCCAGGAAGGGGTTGAGTGAGAAATGCACACAGCTAAGCCCTGAGCCTTAATAGTGGTTCACACCCAAGGCCCCGTCCCACAAGAACAGCATTGGGGAATGAGCACCCCTATCCCCTCCAGCTCCACATTGGTCAGGTCTGAGACCTGAACCTTGGTCCAAGCTCAGCCCACAGGGATGGACAGAAGGGGTAGGCCCTTGATGCTCATGCTGCTGGCCCTCATTTCTGGGGTATTTGCTTGTTCCTTTTGTAGGGAAGTCCAGTTGCAGGAGGGTGTCGGTTTTCTCCCCACTTGCCTTGCCCAGCTCCTCTAGACACAGCCTCCAAAATTCCGACCCATAGTAGAAATCCCAGATACTAAGGAGACAGGCACCATCCCGCCCCCAACAGGCTGTGATGCCTCCCCCTCAGCCAACTCTCCTTCCCTGCACCAACCATCCTAACCCCAAAGTGGAGCCCCTTGGACCCTTCTCTGCCTGCATCATGTTCTCCAAACCCTCCTTGTCTACTTGGCAAGGAAGAGGAATGCACCTATCCTCTGATGCTCAGCCTCACGCCTCTTGCTTGCAAGATGTAACTGCACCATTAAGACCTGGAGCCATCCTGGTACAGCACCCTCCCATATCCTCCCACTTCTGGAGGTAGGGTGGGCCAGGGCTCCTTGATGCCTCCAGGAAACTCAATCAACAAAGGCCCCCACCATGTGGGCAGCAAAGGAAGATGAAGCCATTTGCCTGCAGTTCCCTGGGCAGATGAAGTGCGAGGCTACTGGATTCCCTATTGAGTGGGCCTCTAAATGGCCTGAGACCTTGAGTTTGAGATGGTCTGGTTGGCATGAAGTTGTGGGCTGCCAGCATAAGAGCTTCCTCTCCTAGGTTGGGTGAGATGGCTCATGTCTGTAATCCCATTTAGGATAGGGTTTTGAGACCAGCCAAGTAAAAAGCTAGGAAGATCATCTCAAGCACTAAATTGGGCATGGCAATGTGAGTAATCCAAAGTACATGGCCCTGAGTTTAAACTCCAGCACTGCCAGGAAGCCAAGCTCTGGTGGTTCACACCTGTAAGCCTAGCTACTCAGGAGTCTGAGATCTGAGGTTCATGGTTTGAACCAGCCTGGTCAAGAAAGTCTTGAGTTCTTGTCTCCAATGAACCACCAAAAAGGCAGAGATGCCAGGATCGTACCCTGGACTTTGACTGCAAGTGGCAGGGTCCTTACAAGGACCACGGGGCAGCCTCAGCCTTCCCCAGCATGCTCTGTGCATGCTCTGTCTGTGTGTGTCCGTCTCTCTCTGTCATATACACACACACACCTGTGGCACCCTCTCCACCCCATCTTTATGGCTCCCATCAGCACAAGTCCTTGGTCTCAATTTGCACTGAACTCCCATTTTCAGGTCCTCTTCTGCATTCCCAAGATACCCCATCTTCCCCTCCACCCACCCAGAGATGTGAGGGGCATGGGAGCACCCTCACGAGGGCCCTGGGACCTAAGTGGACACACCAGCATCTTGTCTCTCCTTCATCTCTTGGCTGCATGAGGTTCACATTCAGCACCTCCTTGCTGAGCAATTGTTCCACAACTTAAGCCGTGTGCACAACCCTGTATTTTTCAGATAAGGTCTCTTGGCTTTTGCCGAAGGCCAGCCTCACACAACAATCCTCTTAACAGTCTCCCCATGGCTGGGGTTATGAGTATGCACCTGGTTGAGATGGGATCTGACTTTGCCAAACTATTCTTAGTAGCTGGGATTACAGCTGGGAGCCCTGGTGCCTGGCCAGCACCAGTAATCCAACAAGGACAGTAGTCCTCTAGCTCCAGTCCTGGTCCCCAGGGAGGGGACCCGAGACAAGCTGGAGACAGGCTGACGCCCTCATTTTCAACACAAACGAGGAAAGCAAAGTGTGAGAAAGGAAAAACTTACCCATGGTCCCAAACAGGCCTGACGCCCCAAGGCCAGAGGTGGCGATGTCATCTCAGGGATCTCCCCCACCCACACACACCCCTTTCCTGGCAGGCATCCCACTCCCACTTCAGAGCCCCGGGAGACACTCCCGCACATGCCATCTGGGACGCACACAAAACACGGCTGCTTACAGGGGAGCTTCCTCTTGATTGCTGGGTCCAGGGGATGAGCCCACCCCACCCGCAGATCGGCTTAGGGAGTGGGAGACCCCACAGGGTCCCCTCCCAAGTCCCCTTCCTTCCCCAGCCCAGAGTGGACTCTGCAGTAACACACAGGGGTTTATTCCAGTCACAGCTTGCAGAGAAACGCAACAATAAATTACATCATTAAATAAATGCTCTGATGGACCATGCCCTCCTCTGTCCCTTCTTCTGACCTTTTGGGGGTCGCAGCCAGGCTCCCACCCCCAATTAGGGAGCATAGGAGTGTGAGTTTCACCAGGTCCCCACCCTGGTCCTCAGCCCCCTGGCTGTGCCTGACCTTGACAGCTGGGTGCTGCTAGTCAGCTGTCTCTTGGGGGGGGGCACAGCAGAGAGCCAGGCCTGTGTCGCTAGAGGTGCGTGGGGTTCTCCAGGGAGGGGTCCGTCTTAGTCATGTGCAAGACCACCGTGGGGGCCTTATAGTGGCAGTGGATGCCCCGTCCATAGCCCCCAGGGGCTCTGCAGGCCTTGGCCCGGGCCCGGCCGGCTGCCATCTTACGATGGCACAGGCTCTGCCAGGTCTGGAAAGTTTTGGAGCTCCACACCCAGACACCACTGGTGATGCCCACCACCAGAGACATGAAGATTTTGAGCATAAAGACAGCCACGGTGGGTACGGAGCCCCCCGGCAGGGAGCAGTCCCTGCGGCCCCCGGGCACCGACGCGCCAGTGCACGGCTGCTCTGCGGCCCGGAGCCGCCAGAAGTCCATGTTGAGGCGCTCGTAGGCGTAGCACACGATGACGCAGGTGGCGGGCACCGTGTAGAGGATGGAGAAGACGCCGATCTTGACCATGAGCTTCTCCAGCTTCTCGGTGTTGGTGCCCCCCGTCTTCATGATCTTGCGGATGTGGAACAGAGCCACAAAGCCCGTGAGGAGGAAGCTGGTGCCCAGCACCAGGTAGCCAGCCAGGGGCACCAGCACGAAGCCCGTGAGTGCTGCGGCGTCCATGCTGGCCACGTAGCAGAGGCCGGTCAGCTCGTCCCCGGCCACCTTGCGCAGGGTCAGGACCACGATGGTCTTGAGCGCCGGGAGGCCCCAGGCCGCCATGTGGAAGTAGCTGCCGTGGGCCTCGATGGCCTCGTGGCCCCACTTCTTGCCGGCCGCCAGGAACCAGGTGAGCGTGAGGACCACCCACCACAGGGAGCTGGCCATGCCGAAGTAGTAGAGCAGGAGGAAGACGAGGGTGCAGCCGGTGTTCTCCAGGCCCTCCTGGATCACGTAGAGCGCGCCCGCCTCCTGGTCGCAGGCCACACTCTGCGCGCCGGCCACGGCTCGGATGAGGAAGGCCAGCGAGTAGACGTTGTAGCACATGGAGAGGAAGATGATGGGGCGCTCGGGGTACTGGAAGCGGTGCGGCTCCAGCAGGAAGGTGAGCACGGTGAAGGCGGTGGAGAAGAAGCACAGCGCCGACCACACGGCCATCCAGACCAGCGCGAAGTCCTTGTCGCGCCGGGACCAGAGCACCTCGACGCCGGGCCCGCAGCGCGGCGCGCACGCGCGGCTCTTCTCCACGTACTGGAACTTCTCCGGGTTCTGGCAGGAGCCGGGGCCCTGGCCGGGG